TAGGCGTATATGTGTGCTTGAGTGTGTGTTCTTATATGTGTGTTCATAATAGGCGTATATGTGTGCTTGAGTGTGTGTTTTTATATGTGTGTTCATAATTGGTGTATATGTGTGCTTGAGTGAGTGTTCTTATATGTGTGTTAATAATATACGTATATGTGTGCTTGAGTGAGTTTTCTTATATGTGTGTTCATAATAGGCGTATATGTGTGTTCTTATATGTGTGTTCATAATATGCGTATATGTGTGCTTGAGTGTGTGTTCTTATATATGTAATCATAATAGGCGTATATGTGTGCTTGAGTGTGTGTTTTTATATGTGTTCATAATAGGCGTATATGTGTGCTTGAGTGAGTGTTCTTATATGTGTGTTCGTAATAGGCGTATATGTGTGCTTGAGTGAGTGTTCTTATATGTGTGTTCATAATAGGCGTATATGTGTGCTTGAGTGAGTGTTCTTATACGTGTGTTCATAATAGGCGTATATGTGTGCTTGAGTGAGTGTTCTTATATGTGTGTTCATAATAGGCGTATATGTGCTTGAGTGAGTGTTCTTATATGTGTGTTCATAATAGGCGTATATGTGTGCTTGAGTGAGTGTTCTTATATGTGTGTTCATAATAGGCGTATATGTGTGCTTGAGTGAGTGTTCTTATATGTGTGTTCATAATAGGCGTATATGTGTGCTTGAGTGAGTGTTCTTATATGTGTGTTCATAATAGGCGTATATGTGTGCTTGAGTGAGTGTTCTTATATGTGTGTTCATAATAGGCGTACATGTGTGCTTGAGTGAGTGTTCTTATATGTGTGTTCATAATAGGCGTATATGTGTGCTTGAGTGTGTGGTCTTATATGTGTGTTCATAATAGGCGTATATGTGTGCTTGAGTGTGTGTTCTTACAGTAATGGTTTTTAAAATGCACGTAATGTTCTGTCCATCTTTGTTGATCTGCGTTACGAACGAGCTTGCAATCTCACTGATAAAAAAAATCATATATAAGAGGGTTGCCCTCTCCAAAAACTAAGGTGTTTGCTAATTAATGCTAATATCAACCCTAACTGTTTCGACATAATATACTTAAGTGAATAGAAATGAATCGGTCATCAAGGTACATCTTCGTTATTATTTGATGCCCCCTCTTACAAATATCTCTTTTTTATGAATGGGGGTGACAAACGAGCACACAGACCACCTGATGGTAAGTGGATGCCGGGGCCTATATATATCTACATTTATCTTCGATTAAGATTCAAAATGCAGATGCGTTATTACCCCTGAGGTCTACGATGGAATGCCTTGATTCCAGTAAAAAGGGGCTAACATCATCTACACTCACCATATAAAACGCAGCTTGATATTTTAGGCTGATATTCTCTGAGAGCGTGGTCCTTCCCCGGTCGAGCCGACTCATTCGTGCTACAACTATTATAGCTGCAGTGGGCTCTACAATGTAAGTATTATTAAATATTGTAATATATCACGATGGACTTTCTTGATATAGGATTTTATTCTTTATTGTGCTGAGTAGAAGGAAGAGTATAGTTCATAGTATTCTGCTCGTCTTCTGCGCGTATATTTTCCCTAAATCCTTACGACACCGGATTTATATGTCAGAAGTGATTTGTGTTTGTACATCAGTGTCGACGAAGTTCGTCAACGGCTGCGAAAAGAAAAGTTTATAAGGAAATTGATGTAATTTATTGATCGCTTACTTAGAAATAATATTTATTTATTTATTTAACATCTGGAATACCTTAAACCTTAAAATTAAATACCAGTGAATTATTTACAATTAAAATACAAAAAAAGTTTTGCACGGATACGAGTATTTACACGTATAGAGCTACGACAACTCCGGGGCTAGGCGTTAAACTTATTAATACGGAAGTAACCTCGATTTATCCCGGTGGTGACACATTATTCGTAATTTTAGTGTCCATTTAGGTACTACGTGCTCGGTATAGAAATACATGCGGAAAAAGCTACATGTTTTTTCTATAGTTCACCGCTTCGCACTAGAATATTTTCTGCTCCATAGCCCCCTATAACTTGATGGACGAAGATGAAAGTTACTATTACTGTACCTTTGGGTAATCAAAAATCCTTATGCATTTTTTTAATTTTTTGCTTGGTTTTTAATCATATTCTCTCAGAGGGCTTGGCCACCCTTGCACGTCATTTCGTGTCGGGAACTCGAATAACTCGAATAGAGTTTTCGAATATTTACCGGACACCTGATATGAATTTGTTGTAACTAATCCCCAATATTCAGATTCAAAATAACTATGAAATAAAAAAATCGTATTTAGTTTCCGTTCAAATATTTATTACTTTCTTATTAAGACTTTTATTTTACTTAATTTACTTTACTTTACTTATGAGACATAATTAAAACTAGCCTCTTTAACACCAGCATTAAAACAAGGGCGCAGCCTCAATTGGGATGCTAATGAATTACGTTCGCTTGACTTTCAACTGCCTGACTTCATTGGTATTCATTATACAGATAATAAAAGAAACCGTATTATAACTACTTTGCTCAAATTCTTTTGCCATTTACTGAAATTTTTATTCAAATGACGGTACAGGATCAGACAAGAACAATTAATAACGCGGTATATTCTCCAAGTTTTATTAAATTTATAATTATATTTTAAAATAAATGGAGTAAGGGTGACAAACGAGCACACAGTCCACCTGATGGAATGTGGATGCTGTGGCCCATAGACATCTACATGCACCTTCTATTAAGAATCAAAATACCGATGCGTTGCCAGCCCTGAGGACTGAGATAGAATGCCACTTTTCCAGTAAAAAGGGTCTCCGGTTCTTTACACTAACCATATGGAACACAGCAGCATTAAGCTGCTATTTTACGCTGATCTGTGAGAGCTTGATCCTACGCCGGTCGAGCCGATCCATTCGTGCTGCATCCACAATATAGCTGCACCATGGCTCTACCACGTAAAAAAATGCTGTATGTATATGTATGTGTACTTATGAACGATTTATATTCATATATTTATCCTATCTCCCATATGTCTAAATCCTAGACTTGTACCCTCTGCTGTACTAGTAAACACACGTACTCTACGTGGTAGAGCCACGCTGTAGCTATATTATATTTGGAGCACGAATAGGTCATCTCGATCGCGGTAGAGTCGGGTTAATACTGCTGCGCTTCTTATGGTGAGTGTAGAGAACCGAAGACGCTTTTTACTGGAAATGAAGCATTCCTTCCCAGTTCTCAGGGATGACAACGCATCTGCAATTTGATTCTTAAATGAGAAGTACCTGGATGACCGAGCTTTGCTCGATTTTAATTAAAAAAATTATGCAATTAGTTTGAATAAAATTTTCGTATTTTTAAAAAATACTAAAAAAGGGCTCGAAATAATAGATTTTCTCACAAAAGAAGGGAACTTGAAAAAAAAGTAAAAAAAGTTGGACAGAAGACAGGACGCGAACTAAGGCATAACGATTTCGCGACCGTTCGATATCCACTTGAGCTATAACGATCATTAACACAATGTCAAAATTTACCATCTTATCTTGTAGCAGTTTTCAATTGCCTGTAAACACGGAAAAAAGACATTTTTTAAAAATAAATCCTAGCTAGCTCGATTTATTGCCCCCGATACTCCCTGGACACAAAATTTTATGAAAATCGTTGGAGCCGTTTACGAGATTCCGATTATATATATATAAAATTTAATTTGTTTCAAGATATTTGTTTTAAATTATTAATAAGTGTACTAATTATAAAAACAGGCCGGTTTCGCCTCACGGTTAAGAATAGAATTTTAAGAAATAAGAATTTTTTCACGATACTGTACCATTTTAATAGTAGTAAAATGATCTGATGATACTTCGACAATGATATTATACATATTATTTTCGTGAAATGCACTTCTTCCGTACCTTTTTTCATCACAGCTCATTGCAAATTTACTGTCACCTCCATCTAGTGAGGAGTTGCCCTACATTTCCATACATTTCGCTTATCGGTGCGAGGCTGCTACTCGAGTACGTTTCGTCCTTATTGGTTGTCGGTGTTGGTATTGTTGATCGAAGTTGTCGGTACTTCGAGCTATATGGCCTGCACATTGCCACATTGGTGTAATTTTAACATTAATATTACTAGCTGTACCCGGCGTGCGATACAATGCTTTTTTTTGTAGTCAGAAACTATCGTACTACTGCAACTGTCAGATATCCTGCCTGCGTTTCTCAATCACTTCTCTTTAGGAGGCGCTTGTTCATTTTAACAATGCAAATTAGTATTGCAAATAGGGCATGGTATACCGGAATAATTTTCATACCGGTATTGAAATTACAATAACTGGTATACCGAAATTTCGGTATTATTTCGGTATTATTTCGGTATTTTAAATACTGCTAATAACTATTTAAATGATTCCAATAACGATTGATAAGTCTTGTTTGTGGAGAGCAATTAAAGCAATTTCCTACGCTATATGGCAGAAACACTGAAACTATTTATCAACTTCCTAGAATCCACAAAATGAGATAAAATAAAGGTAATTAAGAATAAAAAAGAAAACACGTTATTTGATCCAAAATTTTTTTTTTATATTGTTTCATTGGCACAAATATCACAATCGGCAATAAAATCAGTCTTACTATCTAATGATAAGAAAACATTTAACAATTTTAAATATCTTTCTTAGTCACAGTTTAAACTACGAATATGAACTATTGTTAAAACAAAATCAAATTGCAAATGAAAGTATCGAAAGTAATCAAATCAAAATGTAGGCGCAGGCTTAATTTAACTCAAGTATTTAAGACCTTTAAACAGGTAAATAGCGTTTGTTGCAAAATCGAACGAAGAAAACACAACGCGTCCAAACTGGCGTCTTTGAGTGATGATCTTATTTTTTTACAAATGTAACTTCAGCTGAAAAGACCTTTTCTGATTCAACGCTCGTGGGAGGAATACTTAAGAATTAATTGTAAGCTGACTCCGAAAACCTACCTACCTACCTCCATTTTCATACAATGTCATTTCAATTCGAATTAATGTTTGGATGTTATCTTCTTCTTCCTCGCTGATCTGGGATCTGTTTTGCTTTTTGGTCATAGATTTTTCTATTGCTTTATTAAGTTCCTTCCCCATCGCAGATGAAGTATTGCTATTAATACCTGCGTCATATTCACTCGTTTCCTTTTCACCAGAAGCATAAGCGGCAGCGGGTGAGCTCATCGCACTCCTGTTTTGTAGAGAGTTGAGAGTCTGTTTTTGCAATCGATGAATAAGTTCAGTAATTGACGTAATCATTTCATCACAAATTCTGGGATTCTAGGAAACTCTGGATGGTTATCTCCATCCAATGGTATCATTTGCCGACGACAGTACAGCTCTAATAAATTGTCTAAATTAAGATTTTTATGAAAATGATATAAACACTACGATTAAAACTATAATTAAATGGCTGAATTATAATAATTTACTTATAAATATTCAAAAGACTAAAATAATGCACTTTTACTAGAAACCGCACTGAAGATCTAAATGTAAGTTATAATAGTCAAACAATAGAAAGAGTAGATGTCGCAAAATTTTTAGATATTTTAATAGATAGTCAATTGACACGGAAGGCCCAAGCAGATGATGTCTGTAAGAAACTAAGTGTGTCTGCTTATGCACTCTATAACCTGAAAAAAAGGTCAATATCAATACGGTATTAGTCGCTTACCATGTTCTGGTGGTTTCCATTTTAAGATATGGTATTATATTTTGGGGCAACTGTGACGATAGAGAAATCATTTTCGAAGCCCAAAAGCGCTGTATAAGAGCAATCTTTAATTTATAGACTACCGATAGTTGTGTCCCCATTTTTAAAGCTCATAAGTTATTAACTTTTCCATATATTCTTGAAGTAGCGTTATTTGTCAAAATTAATCACCATTTATTTCCTACCTTAAATGAAACTCGAGTACGAACTGTATCTACGAGAACGCAATATAAAGACTTATTGTACACAGGAAGATTTCAAACAGCTTTATTAAAAAAAATGTTATGAGCATGGCACCAGTCATTTATAATAAAATTCCTAATTTTGTAAAAAATCAACCGATAAGAATATTTAAAAAGAGTCTTACTTCTTTGTTATTGGAAAGGTGCTATTACTCAGTATCGGACTTTTTAGATGATACCCATACAAAATAACGTTCAGTTAATTAATTGTTTTGTATAATCTGTTAGTATTAATAATTTATAATGTAGTAAGCTACCTGCAATAATAATTCAAAAATCTATATAATGTAATAATAATAATAATGCAATACTTTTAATCATAATAATGTAATAACTATTTATAATCATAATTATCATATTAAATCTATTAATGATTAATTACTAGTGTAGATAGAAATAAATTTTAATTTAATATTTGCATGCCAAAATGGTAGAATGTACGGATCTTTTATGTACTCTGTCAACACCCTTTTTGTGAATTACCTACATTCAATGCAAATAAATCAATATTCTATTCTATTCTTTTATTTTATTTTTATGAATGTTCACTGATTTCTTCATTGTAGACCGATTTTGAATACCTATTCATTTTTTCTTCGTTAACGTATGTCTCACATTTGGCCCTATATAAATCATTTCGACCATGACATATTATATTGTAATTGATTTTTATTGAAGTCGGTTGTACAAAATTTTCAAATTTACCACTTGTTTAGTAATAATATTAGTCCATTAGAAAATGTTGTTCGTATTACTAATTCTAATTACTAATTTACTAATCTAAATTTTAACAATGAACCGAATTAAAGGTAAACTAGCTTTTGCCCGCGTTAGTTAGCCATTTAAAATATTTTTTTAACTATCATTCTATTTAATGATTTCTTATATTTACGCGAATATTGCACATGATTAAAACTACTTTTACGGATTTTATCGCGTTTATTTTTACTTTTTATTTTTAATTCCCGACGTTTCGGGCGCTTTCCAGCACCCATGGTCACGGGGGACTGAGATGACTGACGTCCCGATGTCATTGTTAAACCCGGAGTACCTTCAGCTTTTTTAATTATTGTTTATGGTCCGATCTATGCAAAATGAACTGACTATGGCCTGAGGTCTTGCAGTGGTATGCTTGGGTTTAGTTTTAATTTTATTGATTATAGGATCCCAAGCAAGTGGTAGTACCCAGCCTCCTTCTCTATTGAAATTAGGATGTTTTTTAATTTCAATAGCCTCACGTATCATCCTTGGTAGGAATCGGTGTTCTGTCGCGAGGATTTGTGGTCTATCAAATCTGATGTAATGGTTGGGGCCGTCTAGGATATGATCACAAACTGCAGACTTCCCGGAACGTTGATGCTTCACATCAGCTATATGTTCTTTTACGCGGGTCCTAATTGATCTTTTGGTTTGTCCTATATAAGAGAGACCACATTCACAATCAAGCTTGTACACTCCTGCATCTTGTAGAGGAATATGACACTTGACGGATGGTAGGAACTGACTAATCTTCTTCGGCGGCTTGTAGAATGTTCTAATAGAAGCTCGCTTCAAGATAAAGCCAATCTTGTCTGTGACACCTCTGACATATGGTAGTACAGCAGGCACACGCTCGACTGTGGCCGGCTTCACTCGGTCACTGTGACGTAGGCGCGGGACCCGAAGCTTGTTGTCGTGCAGAACTTGCTTGACGTGCTGAAGCTCGGCGGCCAGGTGTTTGCTGTCACAGATCCCTCGTGCTCTCTGTAACAAAGATTTGCCCACGGTAGCTAACTGTGAAGGATGGTGGTGAGATTCACCGTTTAAATATCGGTTTGTATGGGTCTTTTCCTATACACAGTGCGACCAATGGTGTTATTAGGATTTCGGATGACTAACACATCTAGGAAAGGTAAGGAATTATTTGCCTCTAACTCCATAGTAAATTGAATTTTAGCGTTTATGGAATTAAGATGTTCTAAAAATGCAGTTACTTTGTCTGATGGTAAAATTGTGAAAGTATCGTCTACGTACCGCTTGTAGATCCTTGGTGTAACAGGTGCAGTAAGGAGGGCTTTCTCCTCAAAGTCTTCCATGAATATATCGGCGACAATGGGAGATACAGGTGAGCCCATCGCCACACCATCTACTTGCTTGTAAAACTCTTCCTTCCACAATAGATAGCCAGATGTAAGGCAATGTCTTAGTAATACTGCATATTCTGCTGGCATGTTATTTTCCTCTAGTTTCCTAGTTATAATTGAGATGCAGTCTTCAACAGGTAGGCATGTAAATAGAGACTGAACATCAAAACTGACCATGGTTTCATTGTCAGTAAGATGTAGGTCTTTTATCTCACTGACAAAATGGTATGAATCCTTAGTGTGTGCTCTTGTGTGTCCTCTGAGTGGTGATAATATTTTAGCTAAGTATTGAGCCAATCTGTAAGTTGGCGAATCAATCTGACTCACTATTGGACGTAATGGAGCATTCGGTTTGTGTATCTTTGGTAACCCATACAACTTCGGTGGTTTGGCACAGGAAGGTATTATCGAATTAACGTCCAGATTCAATTTTTCGGAGTATTTCTTAATTAGATCGCTAGTTGTTTTAAGCGTATTAGTTGTAGGGTCTGTTTTGACCTTTCGATAAGTAGTTTCATCCGACAAAAGTTGTTGTATTTTAAAATTGTAATCTGACGTATCCATTATAACCGTAGAATTACCTTTATCTGCGCGGAGAATCGTAAGCTCTGGTCTGTTGCGTAAGTTTTTCAACGCGTTAAATTCATTTTTGGGGAGATTTAATTTCGGCGCCCGTATGAGGACATTATCTGTAGTGTTGAGGACTGTCTGTATAAAAATAATATTGGTAATGAAGATTTAGAGGCCATACGTCAAGACATCTCGTCTATGTTACGTCGAAGTTCAGCGCCGAAATTAAATCTCCCCAAAAATGAATTTAACGCGTTGAAAAACTTACGCAACAGACCAGAGCTTACGATTCTCCGCGCAGATAAAGGTAATTCTACGGTTATAATGGATACGTCAGATTACAATTTTAAAATACAACAACTTTTGTCGGATGAAACTACTTATCGAAAGGTCAAAACAGACCCCACAACTAATACGCTTAAAACAACTAGCGATCTAATTAAGAAATACTCCGAAAAATTGAATCTGGACGTTAATTCGATAATACCTTCCTGTGCCAAACCACCGAAGTTGTATGGGTTACCAAAGATACACAAACCGAATGCTCCATTACGTCCAATAGTGAGTCAGATTGATTCGCCAACTTACAGATTGGCTCAATACTTAGCTAAAATATTATCACCACTCAGAGGACACACAAGAGCACACACTAAGGATTCATACCATTTTGTCAGTGAGATAAAAGACCTACATCTTACTGACAATGAAACCATGGTCAGTTTTGATGTTCAGTCTCTATTTACATGCCTACCTGTTGAAGACTGCATCTCAATTATAACTAGGAAACTGGAGGAAAATAACATGCCAGCAGAATATGCAGTATTACTAAGACATTGCCTTACATCTTGCTATCTATTGTGGAAGGAAGAGTTTTACAAGCAAGTAGATGGTGTGGCGATGGGCTCACCTGTATCTCCCATTGTCGCCGATATATTCATGGAAGACTTTGAGGAGAAAGCCCTCCTTACTGCACCTGTTACACGAAGGATCTACAAGCGGTACGTAGACGATACTTTCACAATTTTACCATCAGACAAAGTAACTGCATTTTTAGAACATCTTAATTCCATAAACGCTAAAATTCAATTTACTATGGAGTTAGAGGCAAATAATTCCTTACCTTTCCTAGATGTGTTAGTCATCCGAAATCCTAATAACACCATTGGTCACACTGTGTATAGGAAAAAGACCCATACAAACCGATATTTAAACGGTGAATCTCACCACCATCCTTCACAGTTAGCTACCGTGGGCAAATCTTTGTTACAGAGAGCACGAGGGATCTGTGACAGCAAACACCTGGCCGCCGAGCTTCAGCACGTCAAGCAAGTTCTGCACGACAACAAGCTTCGGGTCCCGCGCCTACGTCACAGTGACCGAGTGAAGCCGGCCACAGTCGAGCGTGTGCCTGCTGTACTACCATATGTCAGAGGTGTCACAGACAAGATTGGCTTTATCTTGAAGCGAGCTTCTATTAGAACATTCTACAAGCCGCCGAAGAAGATTAGTCAGTTCCTACCATCCGTCAAGTGTCATATTCCTCTACAAGATGCAGGAGTGTACAAGCTTGATTGTGAATGTGGTCTCTCTTATATAGGACAAACCAAA